CCCCCCCACCTTTTAGACTTACTGCTCTGTAAGCACATCACAAAGAACAAGGAAGGAGTTTTCGCCCATCGATGTTATCGTTCTGACTATTCGTTTACTTACCATTACTCGGTTGTCTCTGCTGTTGTTACGAAACTTGCTCTGAACTGTACTCTTTTGGTGACAGTTTGTGAACGCTGCTGTTATTAATTCATACGCTTCTCTTCTAACAGTCTTCTTCGTTGGAGATCTGAAAAGCTTCAGCTTTCTTTCGTTCTTCTGTTGCAGCTTTTTTAGGTGCTGCTGTCTCAATTTTGATTTGCTCATAGATAACATGCATTAAACATTGTAACACAAGTTGAGACTGTTTCTCTGAGATAATTTCCGATTTCATAAAATCTAAAACAGTGTTGTATTTGTGTCGCTAACATTTTTGTTGTATTTTTTTTTTCTTTATTGGGGTTCAGAGATATGGTACCAAAGATGCAAAATGCAGAGTAGTCTTACTGTCTTTTATAACAAGTTTATTTCTGTTGATTGTGTGTCAATGTGCTAATTGATTTTTGTTTGGATATTCGTCCTTTCAGACAATTCTCTGGAGTAAATGAAAAGAGCGTTTTAGCACGTGTATCCAGTTGTATGCCGGAGTGAAAGCACTGACAGTCAATGACATATTTTTGTTTAACTGAAAATGCCAAATTCTGTGCTTCTTGCCAAATCGAAGTTTTGAAGGAAAAAAACGGACGGTTCAAATGTGGACATTTTTTACCTTCACGTCTAATCCTAAATGTAGCTTGTTATTTGAGTTGCAAAATGACATGATGCTTGCTGTCTCTTATTTCAGGCGGCTCTAAGAAAAGATATGCCTGACTAGGCCTGGATTGTATGTGGCAATAACATTTGTGACTCTTTCCTTTTTTTCGTTTTGAAAGTGCTCTTTGAGATTTTGTTTCATTTCTCTTTTCATTCAGCTGTGCAAAATTCAGTTGCATTTAAACTGTCTGCATGTTCTGGCTTCACAGAAACCTTCCAAAAGTATTTTTAAGAAATACAACGAGATAAACCACTTCAACTCTTGTTTCGAAACTAAATAAGTATGTTTCAATTTCTTTAAAGGTCCTGCGTTTATAATGATGCCAAAAGTACAGTAAAACAATAAGCAGTGTACCAAAAATTGATACAAGTTTCTACAACTCAGTTGTTATAAATCAAAAGTCTCATACATTTACAGCTTTTTGGGTCGTGAAGCAGGCCATGTTGTGGTTTGATCAACTGTTTCTTTAAGCATGACACGTTCTGTTTTTCGTGATACCACAATTTCTCTTCTCTTTTCAAAATGTAGATTTCGAAGAAAAGAACATTTATCTTAGCTTCAATTTTTTTTTATTGTCACAATTGTTCAGCAAACTGTCGTTTCAAATGAATGTGAAATGAAACTTAGCTTTATTGAAAAGAAGAGAACTTTGTTTGTCTTTATGCACTACTTGCTACACTTTGCATTTTGCATCTTTGAACTGGTTTGTGTCACTGAACTCTACATGTTTATTCTATTGACACTTGAAGGTGTATGCGTGCAGCTCAGGGCAGCTATTGAACCTTGCAAAAAGGTGGAAGCGCGCGACCAAAACCTTGTTGCTAAATGTAAATACAAATGTGGTTTGACCAAAGCGTTTCTGTCAACATTTCTGTGGGATGATGTCTACCATGCATATGAAGCAAATTTAGCATTTAAAAAACAACTGTTTATTTCTTTATTTCCGAATAATTTTGGTTTACCAAAGAGACTGATTCATTTCAACATTCATGAAACGTTTACACATGTACAAGCTGTCTTCTGGGCTGCACGTTTCACACGCGTGCATGCTAAAACCAACGACTTAAGAAGTAAAGACAATAAGAAAGCTTAATAATTTGAACAAATCAAAACTTGACGAGCGTTTTCCGTTTGATTTTTGTTTTGTTTTCCCAATGAAAATCTCCAGGCGACTGTTTTCTGGAAGACTAGCAGTAGGAAGAGTGCTGTTTTCTTTTTATAGATGGAAAAGCGCGTAGGACTACTTTTCAACCTGGCGGCTTACTCTTTTCTGCAATACAGACTTCAGTAGAATAGACCTTGAGTGCTGTGACTTTGATAGATATTTTTCTCAAGTACTTTCAATTCC